ATTTAATATAATGCTAATTTGACATCGCGTCGGAATTGAAGATAGAATGAACGTTTGCTGTAACACAAGTATATTAAATGCTAATTTTAAATAGAATCATCAGAATAAGCGTTTGCAGTCTATTTTATATTTTCTGCATTTGGTTTTTCTTAGTATTATGCACCAGTTCTCGGTGCTTTGAGTTCTTCGTTTAATTCACAGCCAGTAGAACTAGTTCAGCCCCGAATATTTGCCGAAACATACGTCGTATCCACGAGATTCAAGAAGCGAGACGAATATTCACCGGGGGCATTTTCCCCTCGCGATTGCTCTCTCTCTGCCGAGGTATTCCGGCGTGTCGATAAAAATTTCGATACTCAGGCGAGGGATTCTACCCGGAAAGCTTCGAATCGATATAAAACTGCACCGCTGTGAAATTTGCGGAGAAATTTAGAGGAAACTGAAGCAATTCAGTGAGAAGGCTCGTACCGTTTCGTTGCGAGTTTTATGGATCTTCGAATCATATGTTGATTTTATATTAAAATGGAACAAATGCTAAAAACTTGTGTATACGAGATGTGCTGAAGCAACACAGTCTGATTACTCCGCAACCGTAGAAGATACAGAATATAAAAATTTGCATTACTTTAGACACCTTGTATGTAGTTGTAGTTGGAATTGTAACTACAGGCAAGTATATAATTTAAAATAATTAGAACGTATATGCACATATATTCTTATAGTAGAATTAGCACAAAAGAGAATATATAAATTTCGTTTACTTAGGATAATTGAAACAATAGTTATTCCAATCTAATTTAAAGTCTTTTCTCATTTCTGAGTGAACATTTTCTTCTACTTTGCTTTGAAATAATTATCTTATTCAAAAAAATTGTTACAATTTCAAACCCGAAGAAATTCAGATTTCTGTTACATAAATAGACAGAATGATTGCTTAATAGTCTGCGGAAAGTTTCACGTTGATTTTGTAAGAAGGGAATTGGAATGGAAGGCAAGGACACGCGCAGGATTCGATGTCTTTCGGTTGAGGAAAAAAAGTCGAATGAAGAATGATAATGGAAGCGGCGTGGAATTTCAAGCACGACGCTCATAATGGCCTGGCACATATTAGTTTATCTCGTAATGATCCGAACGAGGTGCCTCGACTTCTTGTATGCCCCGAGGAATTCGTCCTCTTGTTGTTCTCGGGAAGGAAGCTGAACGTCTCGTCGCGTTCGATTCGAAATTAATTGTCGAGATCAATAAAAGCAACGCGTAGGCGAAACAGGAGTGCTTCCAGATAATTGGGAACGTCTCAAGAATTATTAATTAACATTTCTTCAATTATATCGACTTTCTTTTTACTATTTAATCATTTCATCGACGATATATTTATACAAATTTAGATAGGAATTTGTATTAACAATAATCTCAAGTACTTCTCTCTTAAATACTGCAATAGCTTCCTGTAAACAGGGAGATCTCCTTTTATCATTCTAACGGATGATAAAGTTCTCTCCAACGTCTTATTAAATTAAAAGGATTCGTACGATAGAAAGTTAGACGTTGATTTCTTACTCCATTTTCGATAACGAAACACAATACATAATAGCCTTGCGATTCCCGTCAAACGCATAGCGTGATCCTTTGTGGATGGAAATGTAGGTTCAAGATATTGAATGCTTTCCTATCGTACAAAGTGGTCCCATTCCACTATACTTTTGTAAGGCAACCCGTCCATCGATTTAGAAAGGATACCAATTTTTAAGTTATCATAAATTCAATTTCATACAGTTAAATTATACAGAAAGATTATTATATAAAGCATTTTTAATTTCGATTTACTTTTAACTTATATTCAATTGATAATCTGAAAATTTAGAATAATAATTTTGATGTCGTCAAATCTGTGTGCTTTGCGATGTGAAACTATTAATAGCCTCATATAATAATGAATCGATTACTAATGATTCATTCAGCTTACTAGTTGCAAATTTACTGGATTAATATTAATAGGCAAAATCATTCTATTCAGGTTGAGCTAACAGTATAGAGATCAATTGTTTTTATAGCAAACTTGATGTGTAGCCGATATTATATTTACAGAGAAAACTAATCCTTTGTGATCCACAGAGGGTCCAAAGAATCATTATATTTGATCATTTCTTTGCGATATATACATATATTGAATTTAATCATGCTTAAATATATCGAATCCTTTCTGGATTGTCTCGACGTGTTTACAGATAGATGCGCTCTTCTAAATTCCCGCAACAACGAGTAGCTCTTATTCGGATGGCCTATAAATACAAATGTACTTCTGGCCTTTCTCGGCGTTGTTATTCCTTATAATACATGCTCATATTTTGAGGAGACACAGAAGGTACACCCATTTTAAGTATATATAGGAGAATACTTTTTTAAAAAGAAAATGAACAAAACGCCAATTTTCACTAACAAAAAATTGGCATACATGAACGGCGGATAATTACGCATCAAACCGATGTAACATCGTACGGTAAATAATATCATTTCACTCGATCCATTTTTCAACATGTTTAAATTCGTTGAATGCAAAAGGCAGAGGAAACAAACTTCGCAACCACGCGCGGTATGACAATAAATCGATTAAATTGAATTCGAGTGTGTGTGCAACGAAAATATCAAACATGTCGTTTTTGCATTAAAAGCTTTTTGGGCCACTCAACGTTTAAGCTTTGCTTCGTAAAAATGAAAACGTCGAAACTTTGTTTTGTTACGCGTGCACTCTGTACCTGTTACGAAGTTGCATTATTTTCTGTTATAAACTTTTAGTTCCATCGCCGTTTTCGACGTCTACTTGTTAGTAGAACTGGCGCAGTTAATTGAGATGATTAACAGGTCTTTAAATATGCGTACATGAAGGCTTTCATATTTATTCATGACAATTCATATATAACGAATACGAATATATTTGGTTAATTATATAATACTACGAGTCGTTAATTTATTTATTTTGACCACAAGATAACAATCATTTATTTATTATTCCGTATGACTGTGTCATTAATTTGTCTGAAGTGAATATGGAAAATTCTATGTTACAGTACCTTTATTTAGAGCGAGTCTATAAATGACACACAGACTAATATTGACTTTTATATATAAAACAACATATTTTAATTGTACTATATAGCATTGAGTTTTTATTTATTATTATGCATGATTGTGCAATTAATTTATATCTAGTCTATATTAAATTCTATATTATAGTTTTTTTTTTCATTTAGAATAACATTTTGATTGTATTATACAGTATTGAGTCACATCACTATAGAGTTAGAGCTTAGGTAAAAAAAAACCTGTTCACATTTTATTGTCTGTGTAACATAAAGTGTCGTATTCATTACAGATCACCCGGCGTTTTATTTCCCGGGGGAGATTTTCCATGGTATCCGGCATAAAACAAATCAAAGTTCGTGGGAATGTGTATCTGGCAGGAGGGTGAGCCGAACGGCTCCGCGTTTTATCAATCCCCGTTGGAACGTTCCTGCTTTTGGTACGTCGCGAACGCATTGTGAAGAACGGGGAACGCGAGGGACGCGACAGCATCTGCTCCGAGGACGACTTTATGCCGATAATCAGAGCCGGATACCAGAACGCCAAAAAGGGCGCAACCGGAGGCTAAAAAGAGTACTTCCGTTTCTGCCTACCAGAGTCCAGTTAGACCATCGCCACCAGGATGTTGCCTGCGAACGTGGTTTCCTTTGTCAAAAAGGTAATTTATTCTTTTTCTACTTTAATTAATCCTACTTAGTATTCCGGCAAGTAACCGTGTATACAATATGTTTCATTTCGTGAAAGTCCATTTTGCTAATGCTTCACGTTGTCCGTGTTCAGTTTAACAGGGAGTGCGCGATAATGTAACGCGGTGTTTCTCGTTTCTATTTATGCGTTTTTATCGATTCCGTCGCGTTATAAATTATACCTGGCGAAAGATTGAAATACACGCTCTGAAAACATCATTTGAAACGTCGCGAATTAAAAAGTAATCAAGCTAAAACTACCGATGAGGTTTATGCATCTTCTAAAAAAAAAGACAAACAAGATTTAGGTCAGCAAGAACTGCGTCCAAGCGGAGAATTATTTGCTCCGATGGATTAACCTTGCCTCATGGAAAAACAAATTATTCATGTATTTCATCATGTAGCTACGTGAAAACTCCGTGCCGTATTTTATCCCACTGAGAATTTAACACGTTTTATACATCACGTATTGTTTTACGAAACAGTATACATATGACCGGAGTTTCGAGTTGAAATCAAATCATAAGTTACTATTTGGAGATGACTTTATCAAACATCGGTCTGGAAAGTTTAAGCGAAAGGATTTTTCCTTCGCTTTAGAAATCACGTTGTTCGATAGCAGAAATAATCGCAACAATTTAAGATTGTACGAGCCGTAAGATCACTGCCAAAGTTTAAGACATGTAATAGAAAACTGTGTCCAATATTTGAAGCGATCAACTTTTAGGAAAAATTATATTTACAGAGGAATACGGTTTATAAAATTGTACAAAAATTCGACGGGACCAAAAAGATGAACAGTAAAGTATACATATAAGGGCTCATACAACGTTAAGACCGATTATGAAATAATAAAGTTCTAAGCTCTTGAGAACTTACTGTGAAGCTGTACAATTTTTAGATAGCTTTCAGTAGTATCGCACGAGCAATCATATATCTTAAAAGGAACAGGTTGTACTTCGTCTGTATTGCATCCATGCCCTTTAAAACTCGATTTCAAAGATTTACTACGTCTACTTGCACCGTAGAATGGGAACACGGTCCTATTTCTTTGTATCGCAACGATCTGACGTGAGTTAGGAGTAACTGACAATGAATTATATCCCTTTATCTGGTGGTAGTCCGCCTCGAGTTTCAAGATCACGTCAAGATCAGACGAGATCGAAGCAAGAGGATTAAATTTCTTAGGGCCGGTACGATCCTCAGGGGACATCGTTCGTTATTATTCACTTCGATTCTTGTCGTGTCACATTTTGTTACTTCATGCAAAAATTAATGTATTATTTTTCACTTATTGATTATTTTTAGTGAGTATATATGAGACTCGAATGTTCGCGAGGAGCAGTGCTCAATTTAAAACGAATTCACGTTTCCATTAACGTTTAATTTGTTATTATTTCAACTTTCTGTGTGATACAATTACTACTATAGACTCCGCGCGCTCGTACGTAGAGCGGATCGATGATCGTTCTTTATTTTCTCTTACGAAACAGAATTTGACTTGCGTATTTCACAGAGACATATAAAAACGTTTCATTTATTGATAAACGCAAATTTTTAGAATATAAATCGCTCGCTATTCCGACTTGCTAGAATTAAATTTTATTTTAGAATGAATGTAACGAATGTGCTAAAAATAGGATTTTGGTCAAGTGAATCGGCGCTATTCGAATGAATGCGTTGCTTTGCCGCGACCAACTATCCGGGTTTGTTTGACCCGAAACGCGGTTTTTGAATTTCGTGAAACAGCAGGCATCAAGGCCAGTTTCGTCAAAGGTTTATGAGGGTATCACGAGAAGTTCGCTACGGATCCGACGCAAATATATCGCGTTTGATGTAAAATTTAGTATTCGAAGTATTCGCTTTGTTCACGTTTGTACGATATGTTGAAGTTTTAAGTCAGGCACTGACAATGGGTTTACGCGGCAGCGTGCATCTGTCCATTTTAATTAATTCAATTCTATTTTAATAATATTCCGTTACTGAATTTCAATTTCCGTTATTGACTACAATTAACGTCATGCCTCGATTATACTGTAACGCACTATTAATTCAGTTTTGCTTATGACCCAGTGAGAATCGTTGCATATGTAATTTCACTGCAGCTAGTTACAGAGTAGAATAGTCTGTTATCAATATTCTAATTATTATTTATAATTTATTACGTAAATAATATTTAATTTTATACAGGACATTAAAACGAGATAAAAAAAAATCATTTGAGTGCCTGGACTATGGAGATCTATTCGTCCCAGAATTTTTCGAATTAGAGATCATCCATGCTCTTCGTCCGATCTCTCATTAGCCTACAGATAGGAAGAAAATGGATACAATAGAGTGCATAAAAATTTGCTCGATTCCAATTATCGATACCAGAACCGTGCCATTCATTAACCATATGTTGTTCAATATATGAATAGGCGTATGTGCAGAAAAATTGAGATTTATTATCTTTTCATTTTTTGTTTAGGAATTTTAGGTACCAAACAGATCCTTGCAATTAGTGACTGCCATAATCTTATACGTACAATTGCAGTTTACGTATCGTATATACGATGCGACAAAACAAGCTTCAATAGCAAACATTAAAATAGATAAATATGAAACTGTCGCGTCGCACGAGTTGTGGATTTAAATTATAGAATGTGATTTCTACGACTCTCTTTTTCTTCATGTGATCGTTCACGAAAGATTACGTACTTTCCATACAAAGTTATTTTAATAAAAATTGAGAACTTTGTATAATATCGTACTTATTTATTTAAATGTGAGTTGGTACTATTAAAGCATAAATCATTTTCTAACAAAATATGATCTTTCGTGTTATTGTCGTGTTTTACATATCTTCATATCTCTTTGCTTTTATCCCTTTTTATTTTTTATTTATATGAATTTTTTATGCACGTGTATTTTATAAGTATTTCTGATAGGATATACGAAGAACTTGTCTATGTCTTATCGAAGACTTTCGTCATTAACCGTGTATCCATCATTAAACAAATATATATACGGCTATCCTTTATCGTGTTCTTCCAATAACGTTTAATTGGTACATAGGTTTATGTACACATTCGTATTAAGCATTAATAGCTTGTTTGTGGTAGAGGCTATAAGTTACCAGGTGGCTACTATAGAATATCGTCTATGTATTTAATATTCCTCAGAGGATTTGCATTCCGGGATTCCATCGCTCGTATGGATCGCGATATAGCGTGTCTGTGTTCCTTCCGGCCTCTTTGGAATCCTCCCAAAAGCCTGTGTTATACCCGGGTTCACGGATCGAAGGACGAAGGACAGACCGCATTACGTGGCTCTGTGAGTTTCTATCTGCACGCCACAAATCGAGGGACTCGTATTATACACCGGCGTTTGTAAATCACATCCACTTAAGCACTGATTAAATTAGCAATTGTGACGTTCATTACGTCTACAATTTGTAGGTTTAATTAGAGTCACGTTTGTGGAAAATTACAATAGTTTGGGTATTAGAAAAGTATTAAAAGTATCAGAAGAGAATCAATTAATACAAATGGAAAATATTAATAATTCAATCATGGACGAGAGAAATCCTTCTTCATTATTTAAATATAACAATAATGGGGATGAGTATTAGAATAGTATTAAGAGTATTAGAATAGAATAAATTAACACGAATGGAAAATATTAATAATCCAATCATAGACATGAGTAATCCTTTTTCGTTATTTAAATATAACAATAATGAGGTCGAGTATTAGAAAAGTATTCAAAGAGAATAAATATCAGAAGACAATAAATTAATAAAAATAGAAAATGTTAATAATACAATTATGAGCAACAGAAACCCGTCTTCGTTATTTACGTATAAATATAATGAGATGAGATGAGATACAAGATTATATTATCGTATTTGAAAGTACATGCTATAAAATAAGAATGATGTACAATGGAAAACTAGGAAATTTTCCATTGGTGATGTAATTAGATCGGTAGCTAATACCGCGTACGAGGAACATCATTATGCACATATTACATAGGTATGTAGGCAGTTAGTTCGGTGAATCGTACAGCAGATCGTATAAGTCGAAGATCAGACGGAGAGATACACGGACCAGGGAGGAGAGAGAGAGAGAGGAAGGAAATTGTCAATAGCATACTAGAGGAGCTGCAATTTACATCCCGATTACAGAATTGGTCCTCATTCCGCTTAATGTTCAACTTCGCTCATCCGATGTAATAGTTTTAGTTTTAACGCTTCGACCGGCACACAAAATACCAATTTTTAATTAAACGGTTTATAATAATACATTTTTTAAATCGTTCATTGGACACAAATTATTGTTCATGACAGTCCTAATAAAGTATTTCAAGCTACTTTTATTTACTGTCATAATAGCGAACGAAAAATTGCAAATCTGGGTCGCTAGAAGTGTCTAACTTCTCAACTAGCTATCCTTTCGTCGTCAGTCGCTCCGGTGATCCATATTGGGAAGGAAGTCGTCTGAACGTTTCAAGCCGCTTTATTTGTACGCTCACCAGGTATTTTAGAACGACTGAAAGGGTACACACACAGGCAGCTGAATATCTTTAATAAGTACCCAGCGAGTAGATATAGACGCAAGGTCCCAAGCTGCTCGTGTACGATCGCAGGATTTTACAAACCCCTTCACAGGGAAATATGAATTTTTTACTCGCTTAAATTTGATTCAGGCTCGCATTTCCCTCTGTTTTGAAACACCAGTCACATTCGCTGCTTGAGTTTCACCCTGTGATACTTTATTTATTCAGTTCCTTTCTACGTTTGAACAATGTTTGATATTTTACACCCGGAATTACGTTACTCCTATTTTTTATGTCAATAAATACTTCTGCTATCCTAATTGCTTGCAAAAAGATTTGTGTTTTCTTATTCTGTGCTTTTAATTCTAAGGAGACAGAAAATTTCATAATATTGCAATTCTGTTAGTAAAATGATTGAAGACAATGTTTCTCGTATTATTTGCGTGTTTGCTCGTAAAAATTAATGGTCCTGCAATTTTTAGTGGACGTCATCTAATTTTTCACTTCTGAAACGTTCCTCTTAAAAACAAATAACGCGGTGCTTTTATCAAATTTTGTTTGTCTGCTGTTGAATGCGGAACAAAAGAGGTATAAATTTATTTAATTTGCGCATGAACGATCAACGATGTTACCATGTAACGATGTTATCAGCACCGTGATTAATAAACGTTTACGAACGCAATCGCATCAAATGCTAGAACGAAACAGATTTCAAAGCATTGCAGCGCTCGTTTCTCTGATAAAAAAATAATACTTTTGCAAAGGATTTTCATAAATTGAAGGTTTTCATGAAATCAATTTTATTATTAAGAATTATTTAATTAAGGATTTTCATATAATATGCTAGTATAATATGTTGATTATAAAAATAATAGTTAATCTTTTAAATATTTAATAAGAAGTCATTCATAAATATTTTCTGTCAATAAACTAATGAAAATTAGAACGCAGTTTAATGCTGAGTATTAAATAATATATAATTTCATTCCCAATTTTTATTGTAGATCCTTTTAGCAAGAATTTATTCGTTTCGATGTTGGTACAAATAGTATATCTAAACTAAATCTGAAGACTCGAAGTGACTTAGACGTTCCAAAATTTGAATGCGAATGTTGTTACGTGCATGACCTACAGCACAGTCATGATTCAGCAGTTTACATTTCCGCCTGACCAGCGTACATATAACAACCCTCCGGACCTTTGGCTTTCCCGTTCATGTTTAATCGAGTCTGATAGTGTGCAATATGGAAATTTCATTTCACTTTTGCATAGAACTATTTATTTTGGCGTACTGGCCCAGAAATGGACTCGGTTTACGATTTTTCCTTATTTATTTATCAGTCCATAGCTTTCGTACTCCTTTCCTTCTCCACTTCCTTCGCCTTTTTACATCTTTAGTTTTATAAGGAGAATAATAGAAGGAAGAATAATATTGGTGGCCAACGATGTATAGTGAAGAAGAATGGTAACCGGGTTAACTCGACTTAACGGGTGCGACCCGATCTACGGTTACTCTTTACCCTCGTAAATTTCGCGGAACTAGACACATCCGTAATGAAGATTGCGACACTAAAGCCCGGAGACGCCCCGTAACTTCCTAGAAATCGGCTATCTTTCCTGGAGCTTCTGTCATTACGAAGCGCAGCTTCAATTACGTTTCACGCTTCCCCTTTAATAACTGCGCGTTCGCGTTCGTACCAAACCGTAACGTGACGACGGGACCGAAGTTGGCTTCGTTTTAAACAGTGTTCTACACCGGGGAAAATAATTTTCTGTCGTAGATGGTGACGACGCAACCAGATTCCGGAACAACCGGATCGGATCCGTCGGATGAGGGTGGCACCACCTTCAGCAAATGGAGGCAGCTGGGAAGCGACGTGATACGGGATGGTGAGTTTCGTTATCACCGTCGTAATATTTAATAAGAAGTCATTCATAAATATTTTCTGTCAATAAACTAATGAAAATTAGAACGCAGTTTAATGCTGAGTATTAAATAATATATAATTTCATTCCCAATTTTTATTGTAGATCCTTTTAGCAAGAATTTATTCGTTTCGATGTTGGTACAAATAGTATATCTAAACTAAATCTGAAGACTCGAAGTGACTTAGACGTTCCAAAATTTGAATGCGAATGTTGTTACGTGCATGACCTACAGCACAGTCATGATTCAGCAGTTTACATTTCCGCCTGACCAGCGTACATATAACAACCCTCCGGACCTTTGGCTTTCCCGTTCATGTTTAATCGAGTCTGATAGTGTGCAATATGGAAATTTCATTTCACTTTTGCATAGAACTATTTATTTTGGCGTACTGGCCCAGAAATGGACTCGGTTTACGATTTTTCCTTATTTATTTATCAGTCCATAGCTTTCGTACTCCTTTCCTTCTCCACTTCCTTCGCCTTTTTACATCTTTAGTTTTATAAGGAGAATAATAGAAGGAAGAATAATATTGGTGGCCAACGATGTATAGTGAAGAAGAATGGTAACCGGGTTAACTCGACTTAACGGGTGCGACCCGATCTACGGTTACTCTTTACCCTCGTAAATTTCGCGGAACTAGACACATCCGTAATGAAGATTGCGACACTAAAGCCCGGAGACGCCCCGTAACTTCCTAGAAATCGGCTATCTTTCCTGGAGCTTCTGTCATTACGAAGCGCAGCTTCAATTACGTTTCACGCTTCCCCTTTAATAACTGCGCGTTCGCGTTCGTACCAAACCGTAACGTGACGACGGGACCGAAGTTGGCTTCGTTTTAAACAGTGTTCTACACCGGGGAAAATAATTTTCTGTCGTAGATGGTGACGACGCAACCAGATTCCGGAACAACCGGATCGGATCCGTCGGATGAGGGTGGCACCACCTTCAGCAAATGGAGGCAGCTGGGAAGCGACGTGATACGGGATGGTGAGTTTCGTTATCACCGTCGTTCTTAACCGGTTGGCTAATTTCAAGTATTAACGGACTAGGAGAGTCACGTGACTTTTTCAACATTTGTCGGTAAATGTCCCAATTTCAGGTAAACATGATTTCGCTGTTAATTTAAACAAAGGAAACAATGCATAAGTCAACGTTTTGCTCGCGGAATTTAACCCTTTGCACTCGATTTATTTTAAATTCAAATTTATATTGTCATGTCTAGCATGACATTCAAATGAATTAGGCAAACAGTCATTTAAAATCAATTTTTCTCATAAAATGATGGCTTGAAGTACATACACTTCTAATGTCCGTATTTCTACTTACAATCAGTCACAACTCGGTGGTTTTATTTCTAATGACCCACACACCACAAATGTCTGTATTTCTACTCCATAAGAAAACCATGTCTCTACTTTTACTCAGACCATGTCTGTAATTTATGTATTATGTTAAAAATCACAGAAAAACACGTCGGTGAGTAGAAATTGGGACATTTATCTTATGCACTCTGCATAGTTATGAGAAAAACGCAACTCGTAAATGCTCCATTTTAAGTAAGAGTTGCAATACCAAGAAATTTCAAAGGAGGAATTATTTTTATTAACGGAAGAATCAACCAGGACTTGGAAACTATGATTAATATTTATGCGACATTTCATATAAACACTCATTAACCGTGACTGTATTTGGTCCTTAACTCCGTGGCAACAATAAGGCGAACTTTATTGTTGTTCATAATACTTAAATGTACGATAAAGTACTCGCACTGTCGTAAATTCGATACACGCGGCCAAGGCTCAGATTAATAAATATTGCTATTTACTGTTTGAACTCTATTCACAACGCAATTTAAACGATCTCATAAATCGCACATAAATTGTACAGGAAGTCATTTAATTTCTAATAAATTTTACGCAGTTCCGTGAATTAATTTAATTATAAATCTGATTAATCGATACTTAATTATGAGTAATATAATAAAAAATCCTACACTCGTCGCTGTTCTTCAATGTTTTTATTCGATTCTGTTCGCCCCGGTAAAAGGAAATAATGTCGCTCACAGTTCGAGAACAAAGGAACAAAGGATTTTCGTGTCCAATAGCTTCGGATAAATCGAGAAACGAAAATTTCGCGAAGACTGGAGAAAGGAAAAAAAGAATTCCCTCTTTTAACCGACAGGCTTCGGTGAAGGGTGCCGACGGTTGAAGGAGGGAAAATAGCGATGGGTCGGTGGCGGAAAGAATACGACGCGTCGCGAAAGAAAACTGTTTCCCCGGCTACGGAGAGACTCGAAGTTTATTTCATTTGGTAAATTCGATGAGAAAGGCTGTAACAAAGAGAGCGAGCACCGTCGCGTCGCGTCGGAAAGTAGGTTAGTCAGTTGCGTTCGAAGGAGACGAGGAGATGCTTCGAAATTGCAAATATCTGTCGCCTTTCAATGGGAACAAATTTTTCAAGTAGAACCTTCTCTTTCACCATACAAATTGAGCCGGCTCCCCTATTTTACCGATATCCAATACCTATCCGTCTCTCTTTTGTCCAATAATTTTTTTTAACACGGAGAGAAACATCCAATCATTCTATGATACGTACAGATAAGAACATTAGTTCCTCTTAACAATTTATGTATGTATCTCCAATTTCACAATCCATAATAGCCTTTGGGATTACATGATAAGATAACAGCACATAATTCGTAATATTAATAATTAATTCTGAACTACAGGGCCTTCCATATGGTATGGTGTAATTTATGGTGCTGTATTTCATGTGCAATACCATCGAATGTATTTTAAAGTAAAGCGGTGAATATTAGATTATCTTCCGAATTTTTCAATTCAATTGAAAGTTCTGTCGTTCTTATTAAACGTACCTATCGCGATAGAAAACTTTATCATTTGCCTTGTTAAATTACGTCCAATATAATCTCCCTGACCTATCTCTTACAATTCGAGAACGAAATTCTTTAAAACTCGTTTTATTCGAAAGTTACTGTGTTTAACTTAGAAGCCGATGCAGCGAGAACTATCTCCAACGTATTTCATGCTCATCGCTCATTCTCACAGACGTGTATCCACGTTCCTTTCATTCTTGCCAGCACGAATTCCGAAACTCGTATTGCGTGTCGCGTTCGGACAAAAGAAAATAAGAACGGCAAGCCCGCGCGCGACGGAGAGAGGCGAACGTAACCATGATACTATGCATGTATACTCGCCTGCGTCAGAAATTACATTAAGAATACATTCGTTAGATGCGTTATAATTAACGATGACTCTGCGAATACTGTAGCGTCCGGACATTTATGAGATTGACTGTGTGTACAGAATTCAGGTTACAAATGCGTCTCGCATGTCCCAGGAAGGTTGAATGAATTATACCGGTGCGCCGTGTAATTTTAAGCAAATTATTTCGACTTCGAAGAAAAGTAAAAAAGGAAAAAGAAGGAGGAACAATGAGAGACACCAGGGAGGTGCGGGGGGTAAAAAGAGTAAAGCGGAACTTCGCAAAGGGAAGAGGAAATTCATCGCGGTTTCGCGACTGTCCTCGGGCTCTCACTTTCCCGGTCGGCATCACGTTTTTTACCACCATTTAAACGCGACTCGACCGTAATTAAGTAAAAAACGAGCGCGCTATTTATGCAGGTTTGTTCCGTTTGCGCGCGTTAGCTCGCGCCGTGCTGTGCCATTGCTCACCGTCGCTTTTGTTTCAACAAAACGCGTCGGGATACAACCAAAACAACAATAGGAATAACGAACGAGTAAAAAGAAGAGATCTTGTCAATCGCCGTAATTCTCTCCTCGAGTTTAGATACTATTCTCAAATTGTTTGATTAACAACTGTTAATCTACTGTTGCCATTCACTTAATTATTGTTAGGAGATGAGAAACACGTTCCAATATGTACTCACTGTTTTTTTACTATTAATTAAACGTATTAAGTTCTTGTTATATTTTTTTTGAAAAATATCGTTTTACGAGTTAAAATTTGATTTATAACGTACGCGGTAGCTGTCGTGCCTTTTTCAAATAATACACGACGAATTCAAAAACTCGAAAATATACGCCGCGTTGCAGCTTCGTCGATACGCGCCGGCTGATTGAAGCGTCGCCGCCGCCCGGCCCGGCACAAAACGGGAATCTGCAAATTGCAAAATGAAATCGTACGCGCGTCACATGACGTGATGATGACGCGCTTCGAGGGATGATAGGCGCTCGAACGTTACACGGTGAAATATAAATTGTCGCGCATTTTCCCGGAAAGTTTCCACCTTTCGCGGACTGCTTCGGAAAAGGCCAACAACGTGCAATTTGTATTCATTATTCCCGCGTTACTGCCTTACTGGTATTAGTTAAATCAGAGACCCGTTTTTTATCGGCAATACGACACCATTCGGCCGTACATTTATTTGTTAACAAAAATTGCAGTTTACATTATTAATTAAAATATGTGCATATAATTTGAATTGCTTGTAAAAAATATTCCGAGCTGACAGTTATGATAATAACAACAGAAATCTCAATAAAATTTCAATATATGGATATACGTGTATTCAATTTCTGTAAACTCTTTTATTGAAATGACTGCTGTTATTGCCACGATTTTTCGTTCGGAATATTTTTTACAGTCAATTGCAATTTGCAAAATAGGCAGATTTTAATCCGGATAAAAAAATATTTGGACAGCGCATTCAATCAACTGTGTGATTTATTGAAAACGGGAACAGAGTATTTTTGTTAAAAATTGAATGGTTACCGGTTGTCTGAATAATTTTATTTCTCCCTGGAGCGAATAAAAATAGCAATTAGGTAATTTTCTTAAATACGACGATTCCTCCCTCTGTACCTTATCATCCCTCTCCTTCGCTCTGGCACGAGCATAGATCGTGTTCAACATGTGCGTGGAGAACTCGATCACGGTTAGCCAGGTCTACTCGATTGTAATCTACCACGGTCGAGTT